GTCTCTTACTTCTTTAGCATCTTTTGCATAGTTGTTTGAACCAACTCTTGATATTTGACCCAAACCAGTTGTATCAACTACCATATCTCGCCAGTCCCCTCCTTTGAAATGTCCATTGATTTCATGGTCAACAAAACCTAATGGACAGTATCGGTTAGCATATGTCTTTCCATTCATTAGGTAATTATGCAAAGCAACACAAGCTTTGGTAATTGAAATAACTGTGTCAACTTTTGCATGAATTGGACGTCTAAATATTCGGAATCTTGCAGCCAATATTCCAAACGAGTTTTCAATTATACGCCTGGCTCTTGATATGCGATAGTTGGTCACAAGTTTCCTTATGTGCAAATTAGGATTTGCATAAGGCTTCATCAAGTTCTGACGTAATGGGAATGCATCATCTCCAAGAAAGACAAATGGAAATAAAACATTTGAACTGTCTATCTGTCTTGGTCTAGGCACTGACAGGAGATTCTTAAGAATAGAATAGCCAAGATTGCTATTAGAAAATACACCACCATCACTTTGCCTGCCTGCTTCCCCAATATCGACCATTGTAAATTGGTAGTTTCCATTACAAACTGCTAGCAGCACAATTGAGAAAGTTTTTATAATTGAAAACAGTGAACCACTCCTAGCAGGTGCTTGAATGAGTACATGTTTTCCATCAATGCACCCCAAGCAATTAGGAAAATTCCAACGTTTTCAAACAATTTGGCAATTGCTAACCAATCTTCTGGTGCTTTAGGCATGTTCAAAATGTTTTCTCCAACATTGCTTCCCAAATAGCATTCGATGTTTCGCTGACAATCTTTGATATTGTGGTTTCTCCAATTCTATAACTCATCGATATGGTTGAGAAAGAGTCACCCGTTGCTAAATAGCGCATAGTCACACATAATCTCTCTTCAGGTTTTATAACATCTCTCCGAGTTTCCTGTTTATAAATTTTTTGGCGCTATCCAGCTTAAAACCTCTTCCATCTGGCTAGGATCCATCCTGAATTGCTTAAAAAACAACTCATGGTCGTGCAGTTTCAACTCCTGTACTAAGTTCACAAATTCCCCTCGTATTGCACGACTTTTAAAAAGCTTTCTGACCCAAAATCTCTTTTTGTATTTTTTCAAACGTCGTTTTCTTCTTCGGTATATCAAGAGCAGGCAAATTAATTGTTTGCGGCTGAACTCCATATTGCTATATTATTTAAAAGTTGGCGCTCTTTTTCTCATGCGTGGAAATCGAATTACAGGAGAAAATTTCGCAGAAACAGAATTTCGCGCGAACTATTACGCATTTCGCTGCCGTGGAATTAGGCCTTAAACAAGAAGTATATAGATGTTTTAAAGTTGAGTGCATGATCCTTTTTTAAATATATACTATAGTATAATTTTAGAATTTTTATATACATTTGTATATATAGTATAAAAGAGCCAGTAGTTTATCAGTCTATTTGACTGTTGTCTGTTACCCTCTTGAAATAAAGTTTTTATACATACTTAAACATATACACAAGGTTAAGTTATAATATCCGTTGAACTCAAAACACTTAAAGCAATATTTTTACCGCCATATTTGAATTTTAAATTCAAGAATAAAATATCTTTTTCTCTTGTACAAATGTGACTGGATTTCTTGCGGGGAATTTCGTTTTTAACGGAACAAAAAATTTTCGAAAAGATTTTTGACATTAACAAGCGACATAAATAATGTTTTATCAACACGAGGCTCGAGAGTTAAGACCTAAGAGCATTGGCAAAATTCATCACATAATTACAAAAATAAAATACGCTAACAAAATCGTACCTACTCCTTAAAAAAAAACCCAGCTAATCTTTATAGTCTTCTTGTGAATGCTGTCATGGAAAAGATCATTTCACACCGTACTCTTCACAAATTGGTCTTAAAATTCATAAATAACACAAACAATCTCTTCTCAACCATTCTCAATTCTCAACTATTAACTTTGATAATGCACTGGACACCAGTTCGTGGGCACAGATGCAATCAAAGTATCTAAGCACCTGCGTAAAGGCAAGTTAATAACAACTTACCACACAATAATCTGATCAGATATCATACGATCAGACTTTGTGCCTGCAAAGCCAGTGAAAGGTACTTCTCATAAAACCTCCAAATCAAAATACGCTTTGTGTGATAAATTAAATATTACATGATATTTCATCTTGCTATAATCGACATTTGACTGTCTCCATGACAAATATGCACAATGTTTAAATTATCTCCCCTGCAAAATCTCTAATCATCTTGTTTGAGTGAAAGTAGTAATGGAAAATGGGAAAAAAGACTTATCTAATATACACACGAAGAACAAAATCATTAAACTTATTTTTGAAGAGTCATTCAGAAGAGTCATTCATGAAGACTTATTCAGTAAAAGCTGCCATTGATCAAAATGACGGCATATGATGGAAGCGAATTGCTAAGCCTAAAAGGACTATGGTGAAGAATTGTGAAAACCCTTAATATTTAGCTCGGGATGAATGGATTAGAGGGTAGTTAGCGATCGTGTGATTTGGTCTTTTAAGGATTCAAACTTTAAATTAGGAGTAAGTTATCGTATATGACGGTGGTGTGTATGCAAAATCATTGAAAACCATTCATGAATAGCCTTTGAATCAGAGGTACGAGAGTCAGAAACACTGATTGTAATTACTTAACATTACTCACTATGTCTAACGATGGTAGAATAATTAAAATCATTTTGAAGAATTGAATATTAAAGAAATAGCAATATTCGTCTTGTCAAAATAAAATTTTGCTATAGCATTTATTAGTACGTTATTCTTAACATTGAACGAATTTATGTTTTGAAATCTGACAAATCAAGATACCTACAACAAAGACTTTGCTAAGAATTCTCAATAACATGAGACCACCCTGGGCCCTGGTAAAGCCATAACTTTTTAATAACAACAAGACATTCTGTACACGAATAAAATTTATTTTGGTGAGTGAATCATTTCACTGCAATATTAAAGAAAGTAGAATTCAATACATCGCGTAAAGGGATACTTCGTCTCACTTTCTACACAAACATACAGCCAATTATCCATTTTCTCCTTTGTCAGTACTTCCTGTATACGTGAGAAGTTTGTGTACATGATCATGATGCCCAGCCCAAGTTTTGAATTAGTCTGACATAGCCGTTAAGCCACTCCGGACGTCAACGTCAACCCAGAAGAATATTTGTTTTGTCTGTTTCAAAACACCAGATACATACATACGATCTTAATTTACCATACCATATAAGATATTTTATTTTGCTATCAGTTGAGTATTTTTAAGAAGAAGAGTTAAGAACGCATCACACGACGAACGCGAAAGTCGTTTTTTTTATAAGATCCAAAACTTATTGTAAGAAGGCCAGCAGACGACAAAGAAGTTAGTCTTGGAGGTATATAATAATTATTATTTGTAATGGCAGGATAACTGCGTTTTACCAAACCCTGTCGTTCGTTTGAGCTGATAGTACGATTAATAAAACATTTCGACATGTGGTTTATCGAATCCTTTTAAACCAAATTTTAGTCATCGATTTATGTAAAAACCAGACCTTGTACACTTCAAATTAGATTTTGTATAAGTAAATTATATTATTTTTTAGACAGGTGGAACCCGGCGTACATTTCCTTACATAAAATCAATTTCTGAGGTCACGCTATGGTACCTGTACAATATGTTTATAGTTACGTTGTTTTGATATGTTTGTTGAATATATATCCAGTGCCAGTGGTCAAAGCTGGCGACAATTCTATCAAAATGTGCAATTCGACTAAAATAGATCAAGTAAATTGCACAAGGAATTCCTCTGCTTCGCAAAATAATACAAAAGTAAGTAGTATTATATAAAAAGTATTATAAGTCATGAAAATAAACTCGAGTGCTTTGTTGACTGCAAAGAGAAATGCATTCAAAGAAATACATATACAAGCATGCGAGAGAAACGTAAACGCGTTTGCTCTTTTGTATTACTCAACAACGTTACATGCAGTGATTTTATCATGAAATTTGACATTTTGAGAATAAGCAAAACTATTATGTGCAGTGCATTTAAATAGCATTTTGTGGCTTCATGGTAAGCTGTAAAGATAAACATTGCTATCCAAAGTTATTTGGCAAAATCAAATAACTGTATGATAAAACATGCATAAAACGATTTCACCAATATCTGCGAATACGAACGAAAAATATCAAAACGATACGAGAAATTGTTTAGAATTACCATTATTCTATGCATATTTACAATATCAAGTCATTTTCACTTGCCTGCTTTCTTCAAGAGTTCAAGAGTACCAGGCAAAAGACAACATCTGCATATTTCTCCATGCATATGAAGAACTTCATTTTTTTTATATGTACCGAGATATGATATTTTCATCAATATCTTCTCTGTGTAATGAACTAGGCAATTACATGATATTCAACATGGTTTCTTCCTCGTGAAATTGGAATTTTCATAGCAAAGCTTGTGTTGGTTGCCTTGATAAGAACAAAACATAAAAATTACAACATTCCTCAAATTATGTTTACTTTATGTGGTGGCGTAAAAGAAAGCCCGTATATTTGATCTTGCTATGCGAATATATCACAGTTCACACATAGTGGAAACTGAAAAATCAGTTCCTACAAAAATAAATAATGGCAATGTTCTCAAACTCATATATAAGACTGTGTGTGAACTGTGATATATTCGCATAGCAAGATCAAATATACGAGCTTTCTTAAAAGCTTATGCAAAAGTCGATGATAGTAAAACGACATCAATTTAAGTTTGGTCATCATTTGCAACATAAACATAAGCATAAGAAGAACTGACAGTTGATAATCTTTTGCAGTTATGCTCATATTTATACTTTTGCCGAAAGTGAGAACCAGGATTTGAGCGTTATAATTTAGTTCCTCGTCTAAAAAGAACAAATTTTTGTTTTTAAAAATATTGCAACATATAATAAACATATATTTATGTATTTAATAAGAAACCGAAGAAAAGTTTCTCACTTCCTCAAGAAATATTAATAACAACAATGGTGGTCTCCACAGTTGGTGTCCTAACAAATGGTCTTCTTATTGTTGTTATTGTGAAGGATCCTATAAACGAACTAAGACGAGGACCGTGGATTACTATCTTAAGCTTATCTATGGCTGATTTCACTGCATCTTTGTCTCAATTCATGATTGTTGGATTGGGTAGATTGTTCGAGGTCAAACCATCAGAAGCTGTCATTTATTCTGTCCTTTTCTTTTGGATGTTTGGGGCTGCGGGCTCATTTTTTCACTTGACATCACTCACATGGCAAACTTACATGATTGCAAAGTATCCCAAATACAGACAACAAATGTTATCTACGAAGAAAATTTACATATTATGCGCCACAGTTTGGTTGATTGCCATTTGCATGGCATTTGCTGAAGTCACATCACTTTACATAAAAAAAATTGACCAGCTTATGTATATCTATATCACGGTATATGCTGTCTTGGAAATCGCAGTTTTACTTCAGATCATATTGAAGTGTTTCATACTTAAGGTTGTATTGCAAAGTCGACAAGGCACTAAAGTAAATGCTAAACAGTACAACACTAAACACTTTGAAATTGTAAAGGCAATCATTGTGCTGAATGTCTTATTACTGGTAACTGCATTTCCTTATTTTATCGCCAAACAAGTGGAGTTTATTCAAAGGCTTGGAAAAATACAAAGTGAATTGGCTTGGCGTTTTTCTTACTACTACAAACCAGTTGCCATGGTGAATTTCGCTGTCAATCCAATTGTGTATGCATTGAGGCTTCCAGTTTATCGAAACAGTCTGAAGGCGTTGTTTAAAAAGAACAGTTTTATTTCTACTGATACAGCACAGCAATCGACAACTTCGTTCTGTTCTGCTGATGAAACGATTGCTTTGTAGATAATATGCATTGATTAATATGCATTGATCATATATAACTTGATTACAAATATATATAATGATTATTTTTTTAATAGAGGTAATTACATAAACTTTAGTGTGATTTGTAGTTATACTTTTGTGTAATTTTTTGTGTAATGTTTGTATTTGTAGGCAATTTTGCCTGCAACAAACTATTTTGATAGCCACATCAAAACATAGTACAATATCGTATCTAATAATACGTTGTCCTCCTTGCTGCTTATTTACATCTTTACGAAGAAATTCTCTACATTGAATTTAGCGTGAGCAGAAGCTTTGTGTAACAGGTAAAACTTGGCAGCTTTGTTGCATCGAAAATTTCACAAGAAAAAGCAAGTTGCCCTTACAGACTTAACTTCTTTTAAAATGGCAGAACGATTTTCATTGATAAAACAGCATGGTCAGCAATCAGCATGTATTTGAAAATTCAGGCAGAATCATTTTTAATAATACTTTATAGTTTGCAAGATAAAGTATGTTTAACAATCTATCAATATGTAGTATTTTATCTGCACTAGCAAAAAGAGGAAGGCAGAAATGGGCATAGTCTTAAAATTCACACACACATATTTTCATACAATTATATTTGTATAATTTTAGTGTTTGATAGAATAAGCTGATAATAAACGAACAATGAACAATACACTTTAATGAACACATTTATTTATTGTCCATAAAGATTTTTGAACGTCTTCTTCCACACATTTTTAAGTTAGATAATAATTCACATCCTCTTTTTTTCATATGGTGACGCAGCTGACGCTTTTCCTTTTTGTTTTCCAGTTCAATGGGATTGTCCAAAGATTCGCCATTCAACCACAACCATTTTGGTTTTGCACAGCAGGAAGAAAAAAAACACAATATGAAGAAAAGAACAAGGCCATATTTCAATCCTTTCATACTTTACACAACAGCCCAAGAGAAGCTTGACTTCCAATTCTTCAAGTTTCAAAGTAGATTTACTGCCAGTACATCATTCCTACGGCACAGCTATATTTATACCATCAAGCATCAAGTGTTTTTAAACACAGACATCAAGCTTCTCAACAGCTTGAGTTTACTAAATGGATTCGGGCTGTTCTTAGTTTGGATAATACCTTTCAAAGTCTTTAAGCAACAAGAGAACACAAGTTCATGACATAACATATAAGTTCATTTTGACTTCTTGTAACATCAGCTGTTTTTTAAATGCTCTGAGCAATTAAAACATTATAGAGTCATATATAGTTGCGCATGAGATGCGTCAAAACTCTATGCATGTGATGGATATGACGGATCGTAGAACTAAAAATACTTTTTCCTTTGTTTTATAAATATTTTAAAGGCGTCGTTCAGTTTGGACTATTCGAGTGGAAAAAGATGTTTGAATGTTAAAACCTAAAATATGCCGTGTATGAACGAAGAGTGTTTGATTGTTGTCTTCAACTTATTTTTTATTACTTTTTGCTTTTCCATCTAAAATTCAACGACGAACAAACCCATGTATACATGTTTGACTTTGAAAAACGGAATTATTTTTGTCATGTATAGACTCTGTCTTACGGTCACTTTTCATAGTTCTATAAGCACAATTGTATTTTTTAGTTGACATAGAATTTTTTCTTTTCCTTTCAAATCTGCATATCATTTTTATTGTATGATTCAATTATGACAGATAAATTAATGTGAAAGTCCATAACATGCGTGGTTATTTTATTGGTTAATATTGCCTGGTATGACGACATTTTAATTTTCAAATAAACTTTTTTTGAAAGTTTTGTTGACGTCATGCTTGATATTTGAAGCTACGATAATAATTTTCGTTAAAACACCACATATTAAAATATGTATTGCAAGCCTTTTTCGTCAACGTATATTTCTAAAACTGATTTATATGTTTGCTCTTGTTTAGGCTACATGAATACATGGCCACAATTTGTGGCGGTATAAATTATATTTTATGCATGTATATTGGATTTGTTTTAATCCAATCACACAACCTGCTGACAAACGTACACCCATATACCCCTCACCCCATTCTTTTTATTGTCACTTACCCATGTCTCGACGCTGTGTCTTGTCCTGTTTCAGAGTCAAGTAAACGTCGACCGAAACAGAAACGAAAGCCCGGTCGCAATCCCAGAGTTCCATTCACTCCCAAACAGCTGACGACCCTGGAAAACAAGTTTGAAACAATGAAGTACTTGACAAGTGATGAAGTTCGTAGTTTGTGTTTGGAACTGACGTTACCGGAAAACAAAATCAAAATATGGTTTCAAAATCGACGAGCAAGAGAAAAAGAAAAAGTTCACAAAGCAGCGATGAATATGTTGACGTAATGACAATTGACGGGGAGAACAGTTAGCTATGTATGACGACACATGCACTGAAAATTAGTTATAGTTTTATAGAGGTCTATAGTTAGAAAATCAGTTATGCAATCATAGAGTTTGCATTGTAGTAATCTTGCACAGCGTACGTTCAACAGGACCTTTATTTATTGCTGTCAATATTCAATAATGAGCATAGGAATTTCATCGATGACGTCATTCGAGCATTTCCGCTTACAAAGAAAACACTTTGAATGCAAAGTTTCATAATGGAACACATCGTAAAACCTCAGGTTGTAACATAGGATAGAAAATAAAACATACTTTTACATTTCATCATCATCTCAATGTCCATTTTGTAATAAATATAAAAATAAAAATGCATTTAAAGTTGAGTGACTTAAAATAAGGTTTACACTGCAGGTCGATTTAAAGACTGCAACAACAAAATCAAGGTTTATGATTGGTTCAAAGTATAGTGAAGTAAAAGATGCCATAGAAATGCCGAATCTCAATAATTAGAGTTCATCGCTGTTATCTAATTGACCCAATCGGAAAATCAGTTTATATAAGGTAAGTACTAATTTAAAAATGAACACACAAAAGAAAGATCAAAAAAATGAATGCAACAGAAAAACATAGCTACCACAGCGTAATAATGCAATACCTAGATTAAAATACTTTATACGGTTTTACTCTATGCTATTCACTGACATTTACGTACATAAATTTTATCGAAAAGCAAAGTTCTCTAGACGGATGATTGTATTGAAAAATATTAAATTTATACTAGAAAAACATAAGAAACACACGATACAGAGAGTTAAGAGGTTCAACTACCTTCCCACTCTCTCTCGCAGGAGAAGTACCGGTACCACCACCACCACCTTTCTTGCGAGAGAATAACATGCATCACAACCACCTCTCCCACAAGAGAATACTGGTACCACCACCACCACCTTTCATGCGAGAGAAGTACATGCACCACCACTTCCCTCTCCCGCGAGAGAAGTACATGCACCACCAATATCCCCTTTACTGCAAGGGAAATACCAGCAGCACCACCACCCTCCTCTCACGTAAGAGAAGTATTGGTACCACCAATACAACCCCCTTTCCAGGAAGAGAAATACAAGCACCACCACCAACCTCTCTCCCGCAGGAGAAGTACAAGCACCACCATCAACCTCTCTAACGCAGGAGAAATACTAGCACAACCACCAACCTCTCTCCCTGACGAGAAGTACAAATACCACCATCAACCTCTCTACGCAGGAGAAGTACAAGCACAACCATCAACCTCTCTAACGCAGGAGAAGTACAAGCACCACCATCAACCTCTCTAACGCAGGAGAAGTACAAGCACCACCATCAACCTCTCTAACGCAGGAGAAGTACAAGCACCACCACCAACCTCTCTCCCGCAAGAGAAGTACAAGCACCACCATCAACCTCTCTAACGCAGGAGAAGTACAAGCACAACCATCAACCTCTCTAACGCAAGAGAAATACAAGCACCACCATCAACCTCTCTCCAGAGAAGTACAAACACCACCATCAACCTTTCTCCCGCAAGAGAAATACAAGCACCACCATCAACCTTTCTCCCGAAAGAGAAATACAAGAACCACCACCAGCCCTTCTCCCGCAGGAGAAGTACTGTCACCTCTCCACCCTCTCATGCGAAAGAAGTACCAGCAACAGTAGCAATGACGTGAAGAGTTGAGCTCCAGTTATCCAGTTTCCATACCCCTGTATCATTAGAAACTGTGCTTTAAACTTTAAGAACGAAGCTTTGAGCTTTTAAACGTCTTCACAGGGTTTAAACAATAAAAGAAATAAAAATGTCTTATTCTTTTACAAGTCACATATTTACACAATTCTCATCAATCCTAATGTATAGTTCTATAGACAAAAGTATTTTGGTAAAAAATATATTATCAATGTACAACAAAACGATATATTATCAATATCCAATAACAAAAACATTTTACACAATTCTCATCAATCCTAATGTATAGTTCTATAGACAAAAATATTTTCGTAAAAAATATATTATCAATGTACAACAAAACGATATATTATCAATATCCAATAACAAAACAATTTTACAAAACGACACAAACATAAACTCGACATCATAAACAGTTTCAGAAAAGTTGTCAAAGAACACCTGTCATTTCTGCATATCACTTAATAACAAAAAAATTTGCGCGAAATAATAAACGCACTTTGTAATGATAATTAAAAATCTTTCATTTCTGACATAGCTTTTAGTGTAGCTAATATTAAAATCGGAACTGCTGAATAATTAAATTTTACTGATGCATTTACTCCAGTTTTCACCTGTTTTACTTAAAACAAACTAGCTAACAACTTTATCATTATGAGCTATATATTCTAAATTCACTAAACTTTGGTTTCATTTAAAATATAAAATATGAAATAAAATTTCTGTGCAGTAATTATAAGGTTTATGGGTCTTCGAATACAATAATTCGCTATTGCGCAAAAGGAATATTTCTCATTATCCTTAAAATGAAAGTTTGGGTGTAAAACATTACACAGTAGTATAGGGAGACATAGAACGAAAACGGGATTTTCTATTTTCAAAGTTTTACTTTTATTTACAAGAGTCCTACCCGTAGAATAAACTATAATGTCAAAGGATAGTACAAAGTTTTAAACAACTTCGCCCTGTTTGACTTAATTTAAACCAGCCTTAAACATGTTTGGACATTTTTAGTTTGTTGATAACTTTCAGTCTTTCACAGCTTAACTCTTTCATTTATAAGAGTTTATACTTTTAAAATTGATAAAATTTAATAAGCCAAGTCATTCGCGCAGTCCAAATTGAGCCCCACATTCAATCTTTTTATGTTGTGAAATTTTAATTCATTTTGGATGGAAAACTGACTTATAAAAATTTGCTTAACAATCAGCTTATCAATTGCCCATTCGGGATAAAGACTAGTGATCACAAAGATAACACAAAGTTGCATTGAAAGATAGAACTTTGCTATTTTAACGCTGTTATCTTGATTAGGTGTTGTTATATGATGTACTTTAAGTGCTTTTCGATTGCCATAAGCCCATAACGAATAGCAATGTAACATAAAAAACATCAAAACTAGACGACTGACCACATTATGAAACAGAACTGCCAGGCTGAGACATCATTAGTCATTTATCAAGAATTTAATGATACATCAAAACGCATGGATGGATTTAGGACAGGGTTGCAGAGAAGCACCACCACCCCCAGTCTTAGATACACAAGATGGAAGTCAATTTCCCTGCAAAATACTAATATATCAAACAATTAATGAACACACTTAACAATCGGGCGTCTTCCACCCCCCTCCCACATACACTGACACACAGACACACACACAAAAACCATCATCTCTGATCATTTAGGAGAAGACGGCAAGACATTTCCTTTAATCACAATAAGAAATATGTTTGTATAACTGCACTAAGAAGATTAGTACAATCAACACGTGCACAAATCGAACCACTTTAGCGGGAAAAGATCGAGAACTATTTTCACTTAACCAGAAGAAATCATTGATTTTAATCTGAGCCAAAAACATTGACCGACAAGGAAGAAAAGAGAACTTCAATCTGAAACTTTGATCCCATCGTTAACTAATGACTTTCAAAGTGAAAGATGTGAAATTTTTGAAGGACGTAGCTGTTCAAAACAATAGCGACAGACTGACAGGTATTTCAGATTAAATGCACATCAGAACACCCACACACACCCACGGTTATAGATTTATACATAATAAAGTCTCCCTTTAGAGAGCTTTTTGCTCTGTATATCATGTTATACACCATTTTTATTTGAGCAAAACCAAAATACTTTTCAGAAAATACAAGCAGCATCAGAGCAACGTCCTCAAAACTAGTGGTTTGCCAAGTTTAAGTGGTTTGCCCGTGTTTAAGTGGTTTTCATGTTTTGCATTTTCGCTCTTCGTCTATGTCAATGGGGTTCAAGAAAACTTACTCAAACAATCAAGAAACTTTGTAAGGAATTGAACCCAGTGTATCAATAATAGCTATTATATCACTCTAACGACACGTTTTGCTTATCACAAATTCACCAATGAAACATTTGCGATGTAACTACATTCATCGTTCATAACTTTATGATTAATATATAAATTTTTTATTTGGGTATAGTATAGGTAATATTAGCATAGTTTTAAAGGGAAGATGAAAGAAAAAGAAACTATCATGATTTGTAGCGAGATTTAAACTGACTAAAATTTAAAGCCAACTTTTTGACTTTTCTTTTCATGAGAAAGATCAGGAGTGTAATACTTTTTTAACGATACATATCATTAATCAAATAAACCTTGAACTTAGAGACGTTACAGATTCGCCCAGTGCTTCGATAAAAAATTTGAAAGAAAAAATGAGTCTTGCTTGTTTGTTAAGTCTTCTATAGCTTGTTAAAAAAATGACAACAAACTTCTTTCATATATCGGCTGCTACTTGGAGAATGTATTGGAAAAAAAACTTTGGTATAAACAGAACTTCGTTCCATCGCTCAAAGAGTAAGTTGATCTGTTCAAGATAAAGAAAATGTGTACGCAGCTAACGTACAGTCGCAAGTGCACGGACAGCTTAAATACAGAATCCTTTCAACACAGGCATATGAGCCAAAAGAAACAATAACGATGTACCATCAAAATGAAATTTGCATAGTTTTTATTCTACTTGCGTTATGATGAAAAGTTTGCTTACACAAAAAATTCTTGTGATGACCCAAAGCACAAACTTTCATTGTGTGCTGAAACAGGAAATTTTGCTATAGCATTTATTAGTACGTTATTCTTAACATTGAACGAATTTATGTTTTGAAATATGACAAATCAAGATACCTACAACAAAGACTTTGCTAAGAATTCTCAATAACATGAGACCACCCTGGGCCCTGGTAAAGCCATAACTTTTTAATAACAACAAGACATTCTGTACACGAATAAAATTTATTTTGGTGAGTGAATCATTTCACTGCAATATTAAAGAAAGTAGAATTCAATACATCGCGTGCAGGGATATTTCGTCTCACTTTCTACATCACAATATACAGCCAATTATCCATTTTCTTCTTTGTCAGTACTTCCTGTATACGTGAGAAGTTTGTGTACATCATCATGATGCCCAGCCCAAGTTTTGAAGTAGTCGGACGTAGCCGTTAAGCCACTTCGGAGGTCAACATCAACCCAGAAGAATATTTGTTTTGTCTGTTTCAAAACACCAGATACATACACGCGGTCTTAATTTACCATATAAGACATTTTATTTTGCTATCAGTTGAGTATTATTAAGAAGAAGAGTTAAGAACGCATCACACGACGAACGCGAGAGTCGTTTTTTTATAACATCCAAAACTTATTATAAGAAGGCCAGCAGACGACAAAGAAGTTAGTCTTGGAGGTATATAATAATTATTTTTTGTAATAGCAGGATTACGGCGTTTTACCAAACCTAGTGTTCGTTTGAGTTGATAGTACGATTAATAAAACATTTCGACATGTGGTTTATCGAATCCTTTTAAACCAAATTTTAGTCATCGATTCATGTAATTACCAGACTTTGTACAATTCAAAGTAGATTTTGTATAAGTAAATTATATTACTTTTTTAGACAGGTGGAACCCGGCGTACATTTCCTTACATAAAATCAATTTCTGACGTCACGCTATGGTACCTGTACAATATGTTTATAGATACGTTGTTTTTATATGTTTGTTGAATGTATATCCAGTGCCAGTGCCAGTGGTCAAAGCTAGTGACAATTCTATCAAAATGTGTAATTCGACTAAAACAGATCAAATAAATTGCACAAGGAATTCCTCCGTTTCGCAAAATAATGGAAAAGTAAGTATTATATAAAAAGTATTATAAGTCATGAGAATAAACTTTGTTGACTGCAAAGAGAAATGCATTCAAAGAAATACATAAAGCATGCGAGAAAAACGTAAACGCGTTTGCTCTTTTGTATTACTCGACAACGTTACATGCAGTGATTTTATCATGAAATTTGACATTTTGAGAATAAGCAAAATTATTATGTGCAGTTCATTTAATTAGCATTTTGTGGCTTCAAGGTAAGCTGTAAAGATAAACATTGCTATCCATAGTTATTTGGCAAAATCAAATAATCGTATGATAAAACATGCATAAAACGATTTCACCAATATCTCCGAATACGAACGAAAATGACTTGATATTGTAAATATTCTATGCATATTTACAATATCAAGTCATTTTCCTGCTTTCTTCAAGAGTTCAAGAGTACCAAGAAAAGACAATATCTGCATATCTCTCATGCATATCAAGAACTCATTTTTATATGTACCGAGATATGATATTTTCATCAATATCTTCTCTGTGTAATGAACTAGGCAACTACATGATATTCAACATTGTTTGTTCCTCGTGAAATTGGAATTTTCATAGAAACAGCAAAGCTTGTGTTGGTTGCCTTGATAAGAACAAAACATAAAAATTACAACATTCCTCAAATTATGTTTACTTTATGTAGTGGCGTAAAAGTAAGCCCGTATATTTGGTCTTGCTATGCGAATATATCACAGTTCACACACAGTGGAAACTGAAAAATCAGTTCCTACAAAAATAAATAATGGCAATGTTCTCAAACTCATATATAAGACTAAAACTTAAAAGCTTATGCAAAAGTCGATGATAGTAAAACGACATCATTTTAAGTTTGGTCATCATTTGCAACATAAACATAAGCATAAGAAGAATTGACAGTTGATAATCTTTTGCAGTTATGCTCATGTTTATACTTTTGCCGAAAGTGAGAACCAGGATTTGAGCGTTATAATTTAGTTCCTCGTCTAAAAAGAACAAATTTTTGTTTTTAAAAATATTGCAACATATAATAAACTTGAATTTATGTATTTAATAAGAAACCGAAGAAAAGTTTCTCACTTCCTCAAGAAATATTAATAACAACAATGGTGATCTCCACAGTTGGTGTCCTAACAAATGGTCTTCTTATTGTTGTTATTGTGAAGGATCCTTTAAACAAGCTAAGACGAGGACCGTGGATTACTATCTTAAGCTTATCTATAGCTGATTTCACTGCATCTTTGTCCCAATTCATGATTGTTGGATTGGGTAGATTGTTCGAGGTCAAACCATCAAAGCTGTCATTTATTCTGTCCTTTTCTTTTGGATGTTTGGGGCTGCGGGCTCATTTTTCACTTGACATCACTCACATGGCAAACTTACATGATTGCAAAGTATCCCAAATATAAACAACAAATGTTATCTACGAAGAAAATTTACATACTATGCGCCACAGTTTGGTTGATTTCCATTTGCATGGCATTTGGTGAACTCACATCAATTTACACCAAGAAAAATGAACAGCTTATGTACACCTATATCACGGTATATGCTGTCTTGGAAATCGCTGTTTTACTTCAGATCATATTGAAGTGTTTCATACTTAAGGTTGTATTGCAAAGTCGACAAGACACTAAAGTAAATGCTAAACAGTACAATACTAAACACTTTGAAATTGTAAAGGCAATCATTCTGCTGAATGTCTTATTAATGGTAACTGCATTTCCTTATTTTGTCGCCAAACAAGTGGAGTTTATTCAAAGGCTTGGAAAAATACAAAGTGAATTGGCTTGGCGCTTTTCATACTACTACGAACCAGTTGCCATGGTGAATTTCGCTGTCAATCCAATTGTGTATGCACTGAGGCTTCCCGATTATCGAAACAGTATGAAGGCGTTGTTTAAAAAGACTAGAATTGTTTCCATTCAAAAACCAGGGTATTCCATCTTTTCATTTCGTACTAGTGCTAGTAAACCTGTATGATAGATAATATGTTCTAAACTCAATTTGATTAAAAATGTACGAATAGTGCTAATAGTTTTTGTTAGAAGAATAAATTCCAAAGTGACAAACAACTGTGTGGTCAAAAAAAATTATAACGATTATTACTACAATACTCATCACTTTTTTGATTCTACGTAACTTCAAAAGCGAGAGCCATAATTGTGAATACTTTAATGAGACCATAAATTAAGTAAAGCACGTACATCAGGTATCTGGAAATATAGCAGGTTTGCTGAGATGAAAACCTTGAAAAAAAGAAAAAAGATTTGTTATTTTCATCTTGTTACATTTGAAATGCCAGCGAAAAGTACGTATAGGAAATTGGGGGAGGGAGTAAGGCCAATATAAGCCTCTTGAGAGCTGAATTTAATGTTTCTTTGCACTATAACAACAATGCTACACAAACTTCCCCCTTCTTCTGGACAATATTGCAACAAAAAAAGGTGAGGGCAATTATCGTTTCCACCCGTTTACAGGAAATGAATTTTTAAAATCACTCACGTATGTGGGATGTACATGTGAATCCACCATATGCATGTGGACGTCACGAGGCCAATTTCAAAGAAAGCGGATTCAAAAATATGAAGATACGTGTTGTAGGGTCATAAACATTATACCGACTGTATGAATACAAGTGATCAAATTGTATTAAACCATTCAGTCAATGCCAGTCATTTCAGAGACAAGAAATTAGAACAGTTGATTAAACTGTCTGAGATCTCACTATGGTACTCTCACGATTTTTCCAAAACGTCTATCTTTCCTTTATTTACGGATATCTTATTCTTACAAGTTTGATCTCAGTATATCCAGTGACCAATACTGGTGATTTCTTGGAAACGCGCAATTCGACTCATTGTCTTATTAATGGTAACTGCATTTCTTTATTTTGTCGCCAAACAACTGGAGTTTTTTCAAAGGCTTGGAAAAATACAAGGTGAATTGGCTAGGCGTTTTTCTTACTACTACAAACTAGTTGCCATGGTGAATTTCGCTGTCAATCCAATTGTGTATGCAATGAGTCTTCCAGTTTATCGAAACAGTATGAAGGCGTTGTTTAAAAAGACTATAATTGTTTCCATTCAAAAACGAGGGCATTTAATCTTTTCACTTCGTACTAGTGCTAGTAAAGCTGTATGATAGATAATATGTTCTAAACTCAATTTGATGAAAAATGTACGAATAGTGCTAATAGTTTTTATTGGAAGAATAAATTCCAAAACCACTGTGGGGTCAAAAAAATTATCCCGATTATTACTACAATACTTATCACTTTTTTGATTCTACGTAACTTCAAAAGCGAGAGCAATAATTGTGAATACTTTACTGAGACCATTTGCAATTAAGAAACATTTGCGATGTAACTACATTCATCGTTCATAACTTTATGATTAATATACAAATTTTTTATTTGGGTATAGTATAGGTAATATTAGCATAGTTTTAAAGAGAAGATGAAAGAAAAAGAAACTATCATGATTTGTAGCGAGATTTAAACTTACTAAAATTTAAAGCCAACTTTTTGACTTTTCTTTTCATGAGAAAGATCAGCAGTGTAATACTTTTTTAACGGTACATATCATTAATCAAATAACCCTTGAACTTAGAGACGTTACAGATTTGCTTAATGCTTCGATAAAAATTTGAAAGAAAAAATGAGTCTTGCTTGTTTGTTCAGTATTCTATAGCTTGTTAAAAAAAATGACAACAAACTTACTTCATATATTGGCTGCTACTTGGAGAATGTATTGGAAAACAAAACTTCGGTATAAACAGAACTTCGTTCCATCGCTCAAAGAGTAAGTTGATCTATTAAAGATAAAGAAAATGTGTACGCAGCTAACGTACAGTCGCAAGTGCACGGACAGCTTAAATACATAATCCTTTCATCACAGGCATATGAGCCAAAAGAAACAATAACGATGAAACATCAAAGTGAAATTTGCATAGTTTTTATTCTACTTGCGTTATGATGAAAAGTTTGCTTAGACAAAAAATTCTTGTGATGACCCAAAGCACAAACTTTCATTGTGTCCTGGAACAGGAAATTTTGCTATAATATTTATTAGTACGTTATTCTTAACATTGAACGAATTTATATTTTGAAATATGACAAATCAAGATACCTACAACAAAGACTTTGCTAAGAATTCTCAATAACATGAGACCACCCTGGGCCCTGGTAAAGCCATAACTTTTTAATAACAACAAGACGTTCTGGACACGAATAAAATTTATTTTGGTGAGTGAATCAGTTCACTGCAATATTGAAAAAACTAGACGACTGACCATATTATGAAATAGAACTGCCAGGGTGAGACATCATTAGTCATTTATCAAGAATTTAATGATACGTCAAAACGCAAGGATGGATTTAGGACAGGGTTGAAGAGAAATATGCACCCCCACCCCCAGTCTTAGATACACAAGATGGAAGTCAATTTCCCTGCAAAATACTAATATATCAAACAATTAATGGACACACTTAACAATCGAGCCTCTTCCACCCCCCCACATACACTGACACACAAACACACACAAACCATCATCTCTGATCATTTCGGTGAAGACGGCAAGATATTTCCTTTAATCACAATAAGAAATATGTTTGTATAACAGGAGGATGCCACTGCACTAAGAAGGTTAGTACAATCAACACGTGCACAAATTCATCCACTTTAGTGGGAAAAGATCGAGAACTATTTTCACTTAACCAGAAGAAATCATTGATTTTAATCTGAGCCAAAAACATTGACAGAAAAGAAAGAAAAGAGAGCTTCAATCTGAAACTTTGATCCCATCGTTAGCTAATGACATTCAAAATGAAAGATATGAAATTTTTGAAAGACGAAACTGTTCAAAACAATAGCGACAGACTCACAGGTACTTCAGCCAAAATGCACATCAGAACACCCACACACACCCACGGTTATAGATTTATACATAAAAAAGTCTTCTTTTAGAGAGCTTTTGGCTCTGTATATCATGTTTTACACCATTATCATTTGAGCAAAGCCAAAATACATTTTCCGAAAATACAAGCAGCATCAGAGCAACGTCCTCAAAGCCAGTGGTTTGCCAATGTTTAAGTGGTTTGCCCGTGTTTAAGTGGTTTGCCCGTGTTTAAGTGGTTTTCATGTTTTGCATTTTCGCTATTCGTCTATGTCAATGGGGTTCAAGAAAACTTACTCAAACAATCAAGAAACTTAGTAAGGAATTGAACTCAGTGTATCAATAATAGCTATTATATCACTCTAACGACACGTTTTTGCTTATCACAAATTCTAGCCCAGATTACAATACGCTTAAGTACGAGTGCATATATAGAAAAACAAACAAAGGTGTTTTTGGCACGCGTTTTAATAAACTAAATGCTCCATGATCAAATAAATACACGTCACACAGACTGCCAAAAATGAACGTACTTGACGTCAAATTCATGCTAACTAAACAAGAAGTATATAGATGTTTTCAAGTTGAGTGCATGATCATTTTTTAAATATATACTATATTATAATTTTAGAATTTTGATATACATTTGTATATATAGTATAAAAGAGCCAGTAGTTTATCAGTCTATTTGACTGTTGTCTGTTACCCTCTTGAAATAAAGTTTTTATACATTCTTAAACATATATACAAGGTTAAGTTATAATATCCGTTGAACTCAAAACACCTGGAGCAATATTTTTACCGCCATATTTGAATTTTAAATTCAAGAATAAAATATCTTTTTCTCTTGTGCAAATGTGACTGGATTTTTTGCTGGGAATTTCGTTTTTAACGGAACAAAAAATTTTTGCAAATATTTTTGACATTAACAAGGGACATAAATAATGTTTTATCAACACGAGGCTCGAGAGTTAAGACTTAAGAGCATCGGCAAAATTCATGACATAATTACAAAAACAAAATACGCTAACAAATTTGTACCTACTCCTTAAAAAAACCTCAGCTAATGTTTATAATCTTCTTGTGAATGCTGTCATGGAAAAGATCATTTCACACCGTACTCTCCACAAATTGGTCTTAAAATTCATAAATAAAACAAACAATCTGATCTCAACCATTCTCAATTCTCAACTATGAACTTTGATAATACACTGGACACCAGTTCGTGGGCACAGATGCAATCAAAGTATCTAAGCACCTGCGTAAAGGCAAGTTAATAACAACTTATCACACAATAATCTGATTAGACGTCATACGATCAGACTTTGTGCCTGCAAAGCCAGTGAAAGTACTTCTCATAAAACCTCCAAATCAAAATACGCTTTGTGTGATAAATTAAATATTACATAATATGTCATATCTGAATTGAATTACACCTTAATAATGGAATTTACGGCTGTCTGCGAAATATTGATTTGTCAACACATTTCAGCTTCTGCGTCCGCTCTACGTCAATTGTTACTGGATTTGAGCGACCCAATTCAATCTTTACCTACTTTTATCAAAAATATTATATTACAAATAGTTCTATATGGTTTTATTAATATTTACTTAATAATTACACCTTAATAATGGAATTTACGGCTGTCTGCTGTATGCGTAGAGCTTCTGTGTCTGCTCTACGTCAATTGTTACTGGATTTGAGCGACCCAATTCAATCTTTACCTACTTTTATCAAAAATATTAAATTACAAATAGTTCTATATGGTTTTATTAATATTTACTTAATAATCACACCTTAATAATGGAATTTACGGCTGTCTGCTGTCTGCGCAGAGCTTCTGTGTCCGCTCTACGTCAATTGTTACTGGATTTGATCGACCCAACCCAATCTGTATCTACTTTTATCAAAAATATTAAATTACAAATAGTTCTATATGGTTCTATTAATGTTTACTTAATAAAAATTTTACAAGCAGATTAGAATTTTCATCATGTATAATATAAACGTTTGATGCATTTCAATGAAATACAAAGAATACCATACATAAGGCAAAAGTTTTCACTATTCGATTAAACAATGAACAAGGTATGATGTTCTCATTGAATATTTGACACCTACTCGCTAAAGACAAGGATGGGGCAGTCTGCGGTTATTAAAATTTGTGATTACCATATGTGTTGTATAATTTAGGATATTTCATTTATATTTTTTATTGCATGCCAGATTTTAAAAGTTCCCATGCAGAGTTTTATGTGTGCCAAAATTATAATTAAAAGTTAGGGTGTATATACTTAACACTTCCCAAGTATTTTCTCTCTTAATTAATTCATGTTGTAGTAGTGCACGTAAGTCACGAAATGTAAACATATAAATAGACTCAAATTTGTAATAGTCGGGGAGATTGTGTAGATTGTTCATTGCTAATAAACTCCATAAAACAAACCGAATCAGAGTGCAGATCAATTTTCTGGACGAACTCAGTAAATTCTGCGACAATATGCATTTGATCACAAATTTCAACATTCTCTATTATGCATCACGTATATTTAACCACTCGTTATTCGTTACACAACTTAAGTTACCTGAGATATTTCCATTATCAAAACAGTGTATGATAATCTCGTTTACTGGTGTGTTTTTGTTTCTTGTTCATTCATGCTTTCCTTCAAATACTAACACGACACTTGTCGAATATTGAATTAAAAACAAGTTCCGAATATTTCAAAATCTATACAAAATGATTTAGGGAATAGAGTGGAAGAAAATCCACGAGTGAAAGCAAAATTCCGTGGGAACTTCTAAAATAACGAGGTTTCTGTATTTAAAAAGTGCGCGTACAAAGATGGTTGATTGTGTACTGTAAACAGACAAATGACAAAACGTTTGCAGTTTTTGGCAAAAACGATAATCATATTGACGATCCTCTATAAACGTGCCGTAAATATGATACAAGATTTCCGGAAAACCACGCCAAACAAATCTGGAAAGAATTTGTATGTACACGACGATGAAATAACAACTCCAACACACACAACGCTTACTTGATTGTAGGGAGAACATACTCTGTCAATATCAAATTCAAAGTGAAAGAAAAGCAGCGCACCATATTATCTAGGGTCTCACTATGATAATCAAAAGGCATTTCCAAAACGTCTATCCTTCCTTTGTCTATGGATTCCTTATTCTTACAAGTTTGATGAAAGTACATCCAATGGCCAATGCTGGTGATTTGGGAAAAATGTGCAACTCGACTCAAACAAACCAGACAAATTGCACAAGGAATGAGACTGGTTCTCGTAATCAAAGTGATGTAAGTTTATAAACAAAAACTCTATTGTATGTAATTACAAAATCATTTTATTTGGTCTGATGAATTAATTTAAAGTCAATGAAATGTTTTGTTGACTGGAAAGAAATGCATTCAAAGAAATGAGGTAGGTGCAAAAAATCTCATATTAAAAAGTCAAAAGCCACAATAGTCTAACTGAAGCCATTGGGTAAAGTCATCTTATTGAATAATCTTATAATTCTTGTATTTATTATTTCCTTTATGCGATTTTTATGGCATTATCAGAAGTTGGTTTACGCCAAGCCTGAAACTGAATACGTTTAAAAGGAAAGATTTTTCTATCAAAAAACACGCGGAACTTTAGCGCTTTTATTTTAGATACAAACTTCTTCACAGTATAATGTGCAGTGATTTTAGAATTATTTGCAACATTTCCAATATTTATAAGAACACCATCAACTACAATAATTGTACCTCTCCATAATTTCTGTAAGTTATTTATTATCATATGCTCCATCTCGAAATCAAATAAACTAAAGTGTTCACAATATTTTAATACATGTCACACAAAAAGAGACTTAGAATAAAAATCATATCAAATCCTCGTGTCAAGCGCAGCAGAAATGATTTCCGTTTCACAATTACATTTGCGAATTCTTTGTTGCTGTCCAACTTCTGTAGAAGTCTCCACATTCCCCCTTTTGCTAGCATGTAATATGCAGCAAAGACTGCAGAAAATGGCAGTTCTGCGAGTTCGTATTTGAAATTTTTATAACTCATCCATAAAGCCTTGAGGTGTATCCGCTTCTGAAATACTTCCGTATTCTGTAATTCGTAACACTTGCTGAGTGCAAAACTTGCACACTTGCAGTGAAAAACTACGTCTAAAAGAAATGAAATAGACTGACAAGAGATAAAGCATTGAATTAATGCATTTCTAAAATTCTTGCAATTTTCTTCTCCACCATTGAGAAATATGACAGTTTACAATGCATTTAAAATTTTCATATGTTTCATTGAAGAACAAACCCAAGAACAGTAACTCGCTTCCTCAAGAAATATTAATAACAACAATGGTGATCTCCACAGTTGGTGTCCTTACAAATGGTATTCTTATTGTTGTTATTGTGAAGGATCCTTTAAACATGCTAAGACGAGGGCCGTGGATTACCATCTTAAGCTTATCTATAGCAGACATCACTGCATCTTTGTCTCAATTCATGATTGTTGGACTGGGTAGATTGTTCGAGGTCAAACCATCACAAGCTGTCATTTATTCTGTTCTTTTCTTTTGGATGTTTGGGGCTGCGGGCTCATTTTTTCACTTGACATCACTCACATGGCAAACTTACATAATTGCAAAGTATCCCATACGTAGCCGACAGATGTTGTCTACCAGAAAAATATACAAATTATGTGCGACTGTTTGGTTGATTGCCATTGGCATGGCATTTGCTGAAGTCACATCACTTTACATAAAAAAATTTGACCAGCTTATGTATATCTATATCACAGTATATGCTGTCTTGGAAATCGCTGTTTTACTTCAGATCATATTGAAGTGTTTCATTCTTAAGGTTGTATTGCAAAGTCGACAAGACACTAAAGTAAATGCTGAACAGCACAACACTAAACACCTTGAAATTGTAAAGACAATCATTGTGCTGAATGCCTTATTACTGGTAACTGCATTTCCTTTTTTTGTCGCCAAACAAGTGGAGTTTATTCAAAGGCTAGGGAAACTACAAAGTGAATTGGCTTGGCGCTTTTCGTATTACTATACGCCAGTGGCCATGGTGAATTTTAATGTCAATCCAATTGTGTATGCACTGAGGCTTCCAGATTATCGAAACAGTATGAAGGCGTTGTTTAGAAAAAGAATACTGTTTTTACTCCAACATCCCAGTCAACGACCTTTTCCTTCCGGTCCACCAATAAGACATTTGCGATTTAACTACATTCATCGTTCATAACTTTATGATTAATACATAAACTTTTTATTTTGGTATAGTATAGGTTATATTAGCATAGTTTTCAAGAGAAGATGAAAGACAAAGAAACTATCATGATTTGTAGCGAGATTTAAACTGACTAAAATTTACAGCCAACTTTTTGATTTTTCTTTTCATGAGAAAGATCAGGAGTGTAATACTTTTTTAACGGTACATATAATTAATCAAATAAACCTTGAACTTAGAGATGTTGCAGATTTGCTTAATGCTTCGATAAAAAATTTGAAAGAAAAAGCCAGTCTTGCTTGTTTGTTAAGTTTTTTAAAGCTTGTTGAAAAAATGACAACAAACTTACTTCATAAATCGGCTGCTACTTGGTGGTTGTATTGGAAAACAAATACTTCGGTATAAACAGAACTTCGTTCCATCGCTCAAAGAGTAAGTTGATCTGTTCAAAATAAAGAAAATGTGTACGCAGCTAACGTACCGTCGCAAGTGCACGGACAGCTTAAATAAAGAATCCTTTCATCACAGGCATATGAGCCAAAAGAAACAATAACGATGTACCATCAAAATGAAATTTGTATAGTTTTTATTCTACTTGCGTTATGATGAAAAGTTTGCTTACACAAAAAATTCTTGTGATGACCTAAAGCACAAACTTTCATTGTGTGCTGAAACAGGAAATTTTGCTATAGCATTTATTAGTACGTTATTCTTAAAATTGAACGAATTTATGTTTTGAAATATGACAAATCAAGATACCTACAACAAAGACTTTGCTAAGAATTCTCAATAACATGAGACCACCCTGGGCCCTAGTAAAGCCATAACTTTTTAATAACAACAAGACATTCTGTACACGAATAAAATTTATTTTGGTGAGTGAATCAGTTCACTGCAATATTGAAAAAACTAGACAACTGACCACATTATGAAATAGAACTGACAGGGTGAGACATCATTAGTCATTTATCAAGAATTTAATGATACATCAAAACGCATGGATGGATTTAGGACAAGGTTGCAGAGAAGTATGCACCACCACCCCCAGTCTTAGATAGACAAGATGAAAGTCAATTTCCCTGCAAAATACTAATATATCAAACAATTAATGGACACACTTAACAATCGGGCCTCTTCCACCCCCCTCCCCCCCACATACACTGACACACAGACAAACACAAACCATCATCTCTGATCATTTCGGTGAAGACGGCAAGATATTTCCTTTAATCACAATAAGAAATATGTTTGTATAACAGGAGGATGCCACTGCACTAAGAAGATTAGTACAATCAACACGTGCACAAATTCATCCACTTTAGTGGGAAAAGATTGAGAACTATTTTCACTTACCCAGGAGAAATCATTGATTTTAATCTGAGCCAAAAACATTGAATTCAAAACACCTGGAGCAATATTTTTACGGCCATATTTGAATTTTAAATTCAAGAATAAAATATCTTTTTCTCTTGTGCAAATGTGACTTGATTTCTTGCTGGGAATTTCGTTTTTAACGGAACAAAAAATTTTCGAAAATATTTTTGACATTAAGAAGCGACATAAATAATGTTTTGTGAACACGAGGCTCAAGAGTTAAGACTTAAGAGCATCGGCAAAATTCATCACGTAATTACAAAAACAAATACGCTAACAACTTCGTACTTACTCCTTAAAAAAACACCCCAGCTAATCTTTATAATCTTCTTGTGAATGCTGTCATGGAAAAGATCATTTCACACCGTACTCTCCACAAATTGGTCTTAAAATTCATAAATAACACAAACAATCTCATCTCAACCATTCTCAATTCTCAACTATGAACTTTGATAATACACTGGACACCAGTTCGTGGGCACAGATGCAATCAAAGTATCTAAGCACCGGCGTAAAGGCAAGTTAATAACAACTTACCACACAATAATCTGATTAGACATCATACGATCAGACTTTGTGCCTGCAAAGCCAGTGAAAGGTACTTCTCATAAAACCTCCAAATCAAAATACGCCTTGCGTGATAAATTAAATATTACATGATAATGATAATATGTCATCTTGCTATAATCGACATTTGACCGTCTCCATGACAAATTTGCAGAATGTTTAAATTATCTCCCTTGCAAAATCCCTAATCATCTTATTTGAGTGAAAGTAGTAATGGAAAATGGGAAAAAAGACTTATCTAATATACACACGAAGAACAAAATCATTAAACTTATTTTTGAAGAGTCATTCAGAAGAGTCATTCATGAAGAATTATTCAATAAAAGCTGCCATTGATCAAAATGACGGCATATGATGGAATCGAATTGCTAAAAGGACTAGGGTGAAGAATTGTGAAAACCCTCAATATTTAGCTATGGATGAATGGATTAGAGAGTAGTTAGCGATCGTATGAGTAGGTCTGTTAAGGATTCAAACTTTAAATTAGGAGTAAGTTATCGTATATAACGGTGGTGTGTATGCTAAATCATTGGAAACCATTCAAGAATAGCTTTAGAATCAGAGGTACGAGAGTCAGAAACAATGATTGTAATTACTTAACATTACTCACTATGTCTAACGATGGTAGATTAATTAAAATCATTTTGAAGAATATTAAAGAAATAGCAATATTCGTCTTGTGTACAAAGGTGTGGCTGTTTGTATTAGTTTCAGTGTTGATGACATTTTTATACAACTATATCTTATAGATTGATTACTGATATTTTACAACGTCTTTCTTATTAATTTCTCGTGTTTTGCGTCATTTACATGATAATTTGGCTTATCAGAAAAAGAAATTTCGTGGTATAATACATTTCATAAGTCAAAAGAAAGTTGTCAAACTCTGTTGGGGTGAAAACATACACTTTAAAAGATTATTGTTACTTTGCATAATTATTCAAAATGTGTTTTTAATATGTCAAAAGAAAAGTGTTTTTGTCATTGTGCGCCAAGACTCTTGAAAGAAGAACATCAGGTAAGAGAGTGATTACACAAAACATAAACTAATTTTAGTTAAAAGATTTGTAAACAGAGACAAAAGTTTTACCATTATGTATGTGCATGCAATTCTCTATACATTGCTTATAATTTTCACAAATCCTTAATTCTACTCAGTTACGGCAAACGTTGTCAATACATTTGCACAGACGGAAATTTCCTCTTGCAATTAATGCCGAATAAAATGTATTCTCAGTTGATTTATTTATACCTGTGTTTATAAATATTTTATTTATTATATAACATGTTATGTCAAAGAAAATCGTTGTTGAGAAAAAATCTCATTTTGTACACTACAAAATGATGTCCTAGTCAATATTACTATTAGCTACGAGCAAAAAAGCAAGCGATGTTTCGATTTTTTCTCAACTCACCTCGATGCGAGTGGCGGTTTGATACTATGCTACACAATGCATATCCAATTATATTTTCAAGATACTAGCTAAGCTGTTTTCCAAAAATTATTTGTTGATCATGTTGAAGAGTGATCAAGTGCGTACTTGGTTTGTTGATCGTTGCAAAATGTATCGGCAAGGACTTGTATTTGGTGTCAAATAATTAGAAACGTGAATGTGATGAATGTTTTTTAGTTCTATGGGATATCGAATTTTTGTTCAAACGTTTTATAGTCAAAATTGACATTAGCATTTTACCTCTTAACTGATGAAACTTTTCCTCATGCATCACAAGATTCTGATTTTGATGAAATTTTTGCATTAGTAATTTGAATGCTTTGCTTGCTGGTAAATGCATTTGATTTTACTGTGGTCATAATGTAGTTAAAAATGTTATATAGTTTTCAGCAAGGTTTGCGTCAGTTAACACTAAAAAATTAATGTTTCAAACGTTTTATTAAGGAATACTGCCTATAGTGACACTCTTTAACTTTCTGCGGAAAAGTTGTGAGGTTGTTCATTTTATCAATCATTTGTCGCACATGATTTACGTCCCGCAGGGTGAATCATGATTCCAAGAAGCTATTACGTCTACTTTTAATGTGCCCTCTCAGCATAATTAACATAATCAACATTAGTCTTGCGTACTTTAAGTAAGTGGATTTTTGTCTGCATTCATCGAGTAAACCATATTTTGTCTAATGCACAAATTTTTTAAAGTGAAAGATTTTTTAAGTGTATGCTTGTTGCTGTACAAACTGCGTCATGCATAAACATCCTTGGTAAATGAATCAAGTGCATTGAATTCTATTTCATCTTCCAAATCAATTATTTTGATTTAGAAACGTTCAAGGTCTTGCATGAATTACATTTCACGCTTCTAGTGTTGATTTCAAATCGCCTGCTCAAATAAACATATCCGACACGTGAAAAAGCAGCTGCACAGGCAAACTGATAAGATTGAATAATTTTTCATGGCATGTGAAAGTGGTGCTCATTTTGATGATGAAGTCATTTTGTAATGCACAGTAACATTCTCTGAATATTTGGCTCTGGTTTTGTTTTGTCCTAAGGAGTTTTCGACGTTGTTTTCATTATTTTTTTGGTATTGTCAGATTTCTTTAAAATCTGTCACTCATTTTCCTTAAAGTTAATGTGTGAATGTGTCTGGGTCACTGCGTAGGATGATTGATCTCATTCGCAGTAAAACATCTTATTACAGCTGTGCAAATTATTCTCGAATGAAACTCCCAGTTAAAGGGACCTTATCTACATTTAACGTGTCTTCGTCATATGCAAAATTCGACACACTGAACCAACTCCATCTTCAACAACAGCATTAGAAAGGCTTTGTTAATCACACCTTAATAATGGAACTTACGGCTGTCTGTAGAATATTGATTTGTCAACACATTTCAGCTTCTGTGTCCGCTCTACGTCAATTGTTACTGGATTTGAGCGACCCAATTCAATCTTTACCTACTTTTATCAAAAATATTAAATTACAAATAGTTCTATATGGTTCTATTAATATTTACTTAATAAAAATTTTCATCATGTATAATATAAACGTTAGATGGATGTCAATGAAATACAAAGAATACCATACATAAGGCAAAAGTTTTCACTATTCGATTAAACAATGAACAAGGTATGATGTTCTCATTGAATATTTGACACCTACTCGCTAAAGACAAGGATGGGGCAGTCTTTGCGGTTATTAAAATTTGTGATTACCATATGCATTTAATCACGAATTTCAACACTCTTTATTATGCATCACGTATATTTAACTACTCGTTTTGTGTTACACAACTTAAGTTACCTGAGATATTTCCATTATCAAAACAGTGTATGATAATC